GCTGCCCCGCCCCCCCCCAAGACAAAGTGTGCTTCTAACTGAAATAAAACTGCTGGTCTTCTGAAAAGTCCCACCAGATGCCATTTCCCTCCTCTCTGTGTCTCTCTTCCTTCTCCTTGGCTATGGCCAAGCAGGAGCTAGGAGAGACTGGGGGAAAGGTGCTGCAACATTAGAAAAAAGAAGCAGGAAGCAGCCCAGAGTCATCTGCTCTCGGGCTGGATTGCAGCCCTGCATGGGCCTGATACAGTCCAGGGGCCGTATCTTTAACACCCCTGTTCTACACCCTCATCTTTACATCCCTAGCAAAGTTATTGGCATCTACATGAATCTCTTTACTTTTGCAGCTTTAAAAGCCCATAAGGATAAATGGGGTATATATTTTAAAGTAGGCACAAAGTTATCTGTACTCATATTTACCATTGCTTTATATGATACATCCCTGACAATTCCCCACTCAGTGAGTGAGCCGCCCTTCAGTAGTGTGTATTTCTTCTTTATTTTATTTTATAAGCTTTAACTGTTCCACCCTGTCACAAATATTAGTTTAGGCTTACGACCCAGCACAGGAACTAGAGGGAATACAGGAGCTGTCTTGTTTTAAAATACCAACATGAAATGGCACTTGAGGCAAAATTACTTCCAAAACAGAATAAAGATTTTAATAACCAGGCAGGGAATAGATAAAAATGAGGATTCCAGGTATAGCACGTGCTGAGGACAAACTTTCTAATATATACAGATTTGAATTCTTAGAACATACAAGAGAGTGTTGTTGTGTTTCAGAGTTTCAAGATCTTTGCAATGAGAGGTACTTTGCTTAGTATATATTTCAGCTGGGTTTTTCCCCCCCAAATTTTTTATTAATTTTTGTCAAAGATGCATAGTTTAAACAATGTAAACGTAAACAGGTTTCTTCACCTGAAAAGGAAGAATAACACTGAAAAACAGTAACATGCTAAACTTTTTGAGTCATCAGGAGTACAGAATACGGCAATAAAGTGTTAACAGTTATATAACATTATCTTGTATTTAGCCTCTATAATGGTTTCCCAATCAAACCAGGGGGTTATATAGCTCACACTCGTTTTGATCACTTGAATTATATATAGATATGGTTTCTAGCATGAAAAAATCCCATACCTTATGACGCCAGAATTCCATGCTTGGGGGATGACTATCTTTCCAACTTTTAGCTATTGTTACCTTAGCAGCTGTTATTAATATGTTGATTAATTGTTTTCTAACAGTAGGTGGACCATCTTCCGGCCAGAGATTTAAAAGTAATAGCTTTGGGTCGAGAGGTATTTCATAGCCAGTAAGTGTATGAATGCATGTTACGATTGACCTCCAAAAATTCGCAATATGCTTACATGACCACCAATTGTGGAAATAATTAGCCCTTTCCCCGCATAATTTCCAGCATAAGGGAGAAGCTTGTGGGAAGATATGTGAGAGTTTTGATGGTGGTAAGTACCATCTTAATAGTACTTTAGTTGATGCTTCTTGAATCTCTATAGCTTTGTAAATGTAAGCTTGGGTTTTCCAAACAGATTCCCATTGATCTTCATTTAATGCATATTGAAGGTCGGCTTGCCACGCTGTCTGATAGCTCGTTGGTTTTGTGGTAAGTCTATTTATCAATAAACTATAGATTTTGGATATTAGACCTCTTTTTTTATAGTCCTTGTATAAGAGTCTCTCAAAGTCAGTGAGGGGGAGTGATACTGAATGATCGAAGTCCGTAGATTCTATTAGTTGTCTTATTTCCAAATATTCATGCCAATGTATGTTAACATTGTATTTTTCTTCTATTTCAGATTTCATCAGCATGTGCTGTCCTTTAAGTACGCCTACTATCCGAGCGATGTCAGCCCACTTCCAGGTGAGGAATGTGTTCCTTGTCTTGTGCCGGGTGGAACCATTGCTGCCCCATAAAAGTACTCAATTTTGAGTTAGGAGTAGTCAATTTTGGTTTGTTCTGATACCATACCTTAAGCGTAGCTTTAATGTATGGGGGTTTGATGTAAAGTTGCTCTTCAAAAATCTTCATTTATCCCACAGCATTTCACGTAGTTTTCTGTTGTTCGAAGTTGCTTCTTCAATCCAGTTCCAGTTGAGGGAATTAGAGTCATGATATTGTCATACCATCATGGCTATCATTATTGCCTTATAGTATAACTGTAGATCAGGAGCGGCCATGACTCCTTTCCTTTTTGCTCTGCACAAGGTATTGTGTGGGACTCTGGGTGGTTTGAATTGCCAAATGAATTTGTTGATGTCACTCTGCCACTTCTTCAACTGCTGGTCTGAAATAAAAACCGGTAAGGTACGGAAACAGTAAAGATATTTCGGCAGAATATAGGATCTTACAATATTAATTCTGTCTGACCAAGTAAAAAAACCAGTGTTCCAATGTGTCAGTTGCGCCATGTTAGTCTTGTGTAAGTCAGAGTAGTGTAAAGCTTCGGACGTGTGTCCCCCTCCGATGGGAATTCTCTTTTCCCTGGTCTCATGCAAGATTGGTATTAGCATCTACACAAATGCTTAACTGTGGTTAATAGTAAGCAAGGGGTTTCTTAAATGGGGCCTTCTAATCATCTTCCAAAGCTATAAACTTGGTGCAAACGCAAGGACAGAATTGAGAGGGGAAGCCAAATGAAAGGAGGAGTGAAGTCGCACTGGAGAGGGAGGCCGTTAAAGGCAGCTTCTGATCTCGGCTGCTTACGTGAGCTGCGGCTTTAGGTCTGCGCCGGGCCCACTCCGTGCACGACCGAAGGCAGAACTGAGAACCTAAATCCATTCGTTTGCTATGTAAAAAAAAAATCAGTTACAGGCTTAACTTTTTCATTTGTATATAATGCTTCGAAGCCAAGGAGAGAGAGAGACGCACAAAAAGGCCCGCTGTGGGATGGAAAAAAAACTGTAGGGGGAAAAAAAGGAACCAAACACCATTTTTTATTCACATATTGCATTACAATTGTTTCTCCTCCCCCCCCCCAAACTAAAAACTATAATTTATACGTAGAAATTAAAAAAATGAAGGGGGGGGGACACCTGTTGTTGTTTGCTTTAAAAAATACTAAACACGAGTAATATTGGTTTCAGTTATATCGTCTTGATTAAACGCTTGACACTCGGGCTGAGAGTATAAAAGAAAACAAAAAGACTGCAAATCCCAAGCAGTTAGTACAGCAGAATCTTAAATATAGTTTCTTAGAGAATAACGTTTGCTTATAGTTTCTAGATTTCTCCCTTCAAAGTTCCAGGTTTTCCGTTTACATTTTACAGCTTTTCACTAACTCCTGAGGTGTCTAAGCTTCTCCCTTTTAGGAGAACCAGGGTTCTCTTCCAAACCCTTTTCACCAGCAGGAAGTAATTCTTCTTGTCCCTAAGAAGCAATAACTCCTTTTACTATTTGGCTTGTATGGGAGTTTTCTCAAACTACCGAGACCTTCTGCCAAATCCTTCTCAAATATCTATTGTCTGTATAATGCCATTCTGTAGCTTTCTTGACTGAGAATCTAGTTCTATTTAAGACAATGGAGTCCTTATTCTTCTCTCTATAGAAGTACTTTTCTGGCAATTTCTGACAGAAATCACTGACTCCCAAAGTCTCTTCCCTCAA